TGCCATCTGCTATTCTACTACTCTACTATTCTACTATTCTACTACTTTATTACTCTACTACTCTACTACCTCTACTACATATATAAACAGCCAAAGATTACCAAACAGAGATCAAGAATCAAGAATTAAGCATCGATAATCAGGAAGCGAGAACTAGAATCTGGATAGGAGGAAGAGAGGTGAGGGTACGGGTAAGAAGGAGGGGAGTAGGGGGGTAGGGGGATAGTATTGTTAGAGTGAGAGGTGTGAGATATGAGATTGTTAAGGTATGGAAATGGAGAGAGAGGAGTGGATGAGTGGAATAGAGTAGAGGAATGGGTATGAGGAATAATTAGCATTCAGAAGTTTCCTCGTCTCCTTAGAGACTCAGACCGCAATCTAGTGTAAATGTTCATTCAAGGGTCCGCACTAAACTAAATACATAGTCTTTAGGAATAATCAAAGCTTTTATTTCTTAGAATGATATATTGAAAAAGATGTATAAAATCTAGGTTAATAGGTTAATGAAATCGCTTCTAAAGTATAGTAGTAGCATGTTACGGGAGCTGCCTCTAGGGTCACGTGGAAGTGTCTAGAGATCTCTCGAGGTGGTTTAGACTAGACTTCAAGTAGGAATTCAATAAGGTTGTAACTGGTTGCAATTCTCGTAACTATAGTATGAAACTAATGATTGATCTTGAGCACGAAGCTCTACATTGTAATGAAACCCATTCTTTATATAGACCTTCGTTCCTTGTTGTCCCATTGATCCCATCGTGTCCCACCAGGTGGGAGCAGTGGGATCCAGTGGGAATCTCTAATCCCGTGACTTTCTGATCAGGTGACTCGGTATGTTAGATGTCGTCGTAACACCCAGCAACTACATCTCATCTATATATCTATCTGTCTATCTATACGTCTGTTAGTATTCTTATTAGTAGAGAGTCAAAGTACTAGTAACTTTACAAAATAAAGAGCCCGATAGCTTTTCAAGTAGACCCTAATTATAATTGTTAATGTCATTTATAAGAATATATATAATATTAGGGCTAGTTAAACTCGCTGTCAATTCCAATCAAATTTTCCGCTTTTTTATATTCCAACGGATTCTATAATAATAATTTTCTATTTTAAAAAAAGTGAATTTTTATATTTCGTTTTTTCATTTGTATATTAATTCTAATATAAAATTTATAAAAATAAGAAAAAGTAGAATATATATATATACTTTTAGAAAGTATAGGTATTATAGACTATATATATAATCGATATAATAGGACTTTATTACAGTAGACTTAAATAAGTTTTAAGAGGAGATAGGTTTTATTATTTTTTCTTATTTACTTTATATAATTAGATATATTTAAATGTATTATATAATTAGTATAGCTTAGCTATAGATAGACTAAATCGATTAAGAATTTATTCTTACTATACTTTTAGATAAAGGAAATTCGAATCATTAATATATAAATATTCTAAACTTATTATCATTATTTAAATAATTAAATAAGCAAATATAGAGATAACTTTAATTTGACTAAAATAAATATAAAAATAATACTTCATTTAATTGAAATTGAAATCTAAACTCTAATTTTAAAAAACCTAAACTTTAAACTTGGATAATCTAAAACTTAAATAAATACAATCTAAAGTTTTAGATTATAAAGTTTATAAAAACCTATAAAGTCGCGGATTTTTCGATGAACTAAAAACAATAATCGCTTTTTCTAATTAATATTTTAATCCAAGTTTTTCATTTTCATATATAAATTAATAGAAAATATAAATTAAAATACAAACTAAATTTAAGATTTATATTAAAAGACCGATAAAATATTTCATTGATTGACAAAAATTTACACAAAATCTACGATTTCACATTCAACAGAAACCAAAAAATCCGTTATTAAAAAGAGCGAATTATGTAATAGAATCTAATCGGATTAATACATTCAAACTAGCTCATGCACGAATTCTTCTTCTCGAAAGAACCGCACAGGATGAATCACGTCTCGAGACGAAACTGATCTTCACATCTCGGAGGTAGATATCTTTACCTAGGTAGGTAGGTACATGGCTATCCGATCAACACTCCACTTCACACACACCATTTCAAACCACTTCCTAAATAAGAAAAGACATATACACACGTGACATATTTACTCACGTCCTTGTAGCCATTTCTTCTTTCGGTTCCTGAAGTCGGAGGCTGAGGCGGGCCAAAACACAACATGACTCATGAGTTCGCCTCACTACCTAACTGGGGTAACCTTGGAACTCTTGTTTACTTTGGAAGTGAAGGGTTCAGCTTGTAGATGACTTATTTCATAGCTTGACTGATTGATCGATTGATTGTCAGAATATAATATATAGTCACCACACCATGCCACAGTATATCATGTCATGTCATGTGATGGTAATTTGTGGCGGAGTCTCTCTCTTCTCTCTCGGTATGTGTAAGCGAATCTAGAACGTTTGGATGGATAGTGGTAATGGTGGCTTGAGTGAAAACATGAGAAGGAGAGGAGCCCATTATATTTTCTCCACTTCTTTGTTTGAATTTTGGACTTTTGGATTGGGGGCTGTGGATTTATTATTGTTTATATTTTGACTCTGGGTTTATATTTTGGGGAGTTGGGAGGTAGGTGGTTAGGGATGAGAGGGAGGGAAGGGAAGGGTAGAGAGTAGATGGTATTGTGGGATGGAATAGTTGTTATGGGGAAGAATTGGGGTATAGGTAGTGTGTTGGAATACCTATTGGATAGGGATGCACTGGAATACTTTTTATAGGTATGAGATTTAGATGTTGTGAGTTTTCAAAGTCATGACTATCATGCGTAAGGTTATTAGATGGATGTACGGTAATTTGATTCAACATCTATAGAAGCACTGTATCAACCCTATAGTATAGCAAGAAAGACACCTAATTACTCCGTAAATAGATTAAGTCTATCATTACCTATATCATAACCAAAATCTTCAGTAATCATTATGACCAGCCTCATTTTCGTACAGAGCGTATTCTTTTCTTATTATCTAGGACCTTTATAGAGAAAGAAGCGAAGCGAAGAGAAGCAAAAATTCCGAGGTTCGCGATAGAGAGGCCCGAGAGGTGTTGGAGAAGGCAGATCTTGATCTTTGTTTATTTTGATTGCTTGCTTTTGGGATAGTGGGTTGGTTATTTATTTGGTTATTCTTTTGTATTAGGGTTGGAGTTATGATTGGAGATGGAGTTGAGATAATAATAGGTAGGTAGGTAGTACTGTGTATGTTGTGTATAATCTTGTGGTTTTATTAGAAGGAAGTTTTATGGGGGGTTTTGATGAAGGGAGGGTTGGTTAGATGTGAATTTTGAATTTTGAATTTTGAATCTCAAATCTTGATCTTGGGAGGGGAGGAGCGGAGAATGGATTGTAATAAGTATGGTGTACGATGTATGATATGATGTGATGATGTATTAAAGGAGTTATTAAGATGTATGGAGGCACGTCTGTATGTAAGTAAGTATGTAAGATGATATCATGGTGAATGAATGGAGACGAGGAGATGAAATCACGAAAAAGGATGGATTGATAATTCTTGATAATTCTTGATAATTCTTGATAATTCTTGATAATTGATGGATAATTGATCAACCGGATGAGGGATTCCGATATGATGAGCAAGTTCTGTATGGAATCTTTGGGTTTTCCGATGTTTCGTGCGTAGAGCGAGTATGGAGTTACGGAGTGGATTGTGTCTGGGTCTATGGACTGAACTGAACTGTGTACAAATCAAATTGTGTACGATGGATGTAGGTTTGAGGGAAGGGGATGATATGATAGAATTGACCAATGAGGGAGGTGAAGCGACAGGTTCTAGGTTAATAAGTATTTATCAAAAGAGATGCTCTATAAGCATATCAGCGTCCGAAACATAAAACGGAGATGAAAGAGAAAGAAATGAGAAAGGGTCGAAAGGGTCTGTATTGGTGATGGAGAATATTGATTCTTGGCCGTTTACATAGATAGAAGATTAAAGAGGCAAGTTGCCCGGATGGTTTATCCCAATTTATGTGGAGAGAGAAGGGTTTGGTCTCGTTCTTGGTCTCGTCCTTGGAGGTGGAGGTGGATGAAGACTGTACCTAGGTCCTAGGTCGTGAGGATTAATTAATGAACGGTTCATGTATATTGATATTAATGATCTGAGGCTTCCTGACAATGAAGATATGAAGATATGAAGATGTAACAGATTGAATATTGAGTATTGAATGTTATAGCTATTATTACTTACTATTCAATTCTCTACTACCTATCATTATTACCTACTACTATTTACCATTTATTATCTACTACTACCTACTACTACCTCCTATTCTCTTCTATTTACTATTCAATTCCTTACTATTTATCATTTATTACCTCCTACTCCCTCCTACTCCCTCCTACTCCCTCCTACTCCCTCCTACTCCCTCCTACTCCCTCCTACTCCCTTCTACTTCCCTTCTACTCCCTATTCAATTCCTACCTCCTCCTACCCTTCTACTCCCTATTCAATTCCTACCTCCTCCTACCCTTTCCTCCATTCACGTTAAGGTTACATCTTCACCCTAACCCCAGCCTTCAACTAAGCCCAAATCATTTGTTTACCGATGCTAGGCCAAGACCATTCAAACAAAAGTATATACGACTACTACATACAGACAGTGGTCAGAGTGAACCCTATTTCCCCTAAGATCCCGATTCCCAAGCTGGTAGAAATGCTGGTGCAATATCCTACAGGAAATCTTAAAGTCTTATTATTATTATTAACCACAGGAAACCAGTAAATGCGAGACGGCCAACTCATTCACCCACACGCCTTGTTTCCTTGTTTCGCGTGATACTCTTCTCTCACAAAATCCCCGAGTTCAGAGAAGAGGACCAAGGTAGTAGAGGTCATAGTAAATAATCGTAAAGAATGAAATGATTCAATCTGAATGAGAGGGATAATCCCAAAAGATCAAAAGATCAAAAGATAATTCAAATACGAACGTTGCCCCATTCCACCTACATTTCGTGTTATCAACAAATCCAACCTCCATACGTGCACTATTACTTGTTACTGTACGATCCTCAGGGTAGTAAGTCTCTCAAATCATTATCCGAAACATTGCCCTTCGTATTGACATTTGGTATGATAATAACTCTCTGACAAAGCCATACCCCAACTGAAAATACTACCAAAACTTTAAATGAAAGAAGAAGAAGAAGAAGAAAAAGAAATAGAAATAGAAATCCAACTGCGCCACTCACTTCACTCACTTCACCCACAAACGGTTTCTTTTCCACCACACTAGGTACACCTACCTAGGTAGTCATCGTCTCCTTCAGGTCAGCTCAGCTCAGCTCATGACAGGACAAGATCCCAATCCAATTCCAATACCAAAAGATTGGAAATCCAAACTGGAGCACGGTCCAACTTAGCGGACGACAAACCCACCGGGCGATTCATTCTTCCTTAAACCTAACCTTCCTTGTCTTGACTTATTAACTGGTCTCTTGTATCTACATTCTACATTCTCTCCTGTCTTGGAGATTCAATCAATTATTACTCCATTGCAAATTCCTCTCTCCATCAACATCGTCCCTATAAGTCCGAGTGGCAGCTCTTGTTAAAGCTGTGATACTCGATATCAATGACTCAGTTATTTCACAGTGCCTCTCCAAATTCTCTTCCCTCCAATAACGAGAAGCGGAATTTGTCCGGTTCCTCGATGTCGTCGAACAAGCATTCCAATGGCCACAGTCCATTTCCTCAAAAGTTGAAGAACTTCTTTCGAATCAACAGTTCAACAAATCATAGTGAAAAGAGCGATCCTTCATTAAAGTCCGAAGGTAAATCGGGGTTTCGACAATCCAAATTCTTTCCAGGTGGTGGACGAAATCGATCAACGACAGTAGCCAGTGAAGGCAACGCATTAGACGATGGCATCAGTAGTCCGACCGCACATGCGAATCCATACTTTGCACATCAAGGCCCTCCTGCCCTGCGACATCACGATGATGCATCGATACCTCCAAGTCCTCCCGATACTCCAAGTTTCAAAGTCGATACCGTTGCAGGTGTGAATGATCAAGCCACGGCCGCTGGCAAAGAAGAATTGGCCCGAAAATTAAGAAGAGTCGCGAGCGCTCCTAATGCACAAGGTCTTTTCTCGGGTAAGGGTGATGGTGATCGACCGGCTACTGCCGAGCTTGGAAAGGAACCTTTGGTACACAATGCGAGCACGACAATGTTGAGTATGGTGGATGCAACAGATGCTATGGGTGTAGGTGCAGAAGATGACTTGGCACCCTTGCAACCCCCAAGTCTACGAAATAATCCAGCCTTCAGGAGGACGTACAGCTCAAATTCCATAAAAGTACGTGATGTGGAGGTGGGACCGGGGAGTTTTGATAAGATCAAGTTGATTGGTAAGGGAGATGTGGGAAAGGTCTACTTGGTAAGAGAGAAGAAGAGCAGCAGATTATACGCCATGAAAGGTATGCAATATCACGATAGACATGCTGTATGTTGTCTAATATTCTTTAGTATTGAGCAAACAGGAGATGATTAAGCGCAACAAGATCAAGAGAGCATTGGCAGAGCAGGAAATCCTGGCTACGAGCAATCATCCATTCATTGTCACCCTGTACCACTCCTTCCAATCCGAGGACCATTTATATCTATGCATGGAATATTGCAGTGGTGGAGAATTCTTCAGAGCTTTACAAACTCGACCAGGCAAATGTATACCAGAAGATGATGCTCGATTTTATGCGGCCGAAGTCACTGCTGCCTTGGAGTATCTACATCTGATGGGTTTCATCTATCGAGACTTGAAACCTGAGAGTAAGTTGTTTCTTGAAGCTTGGGCGTTTAAATATTAACAAGCTTAGATATTTTACTCCATCAATCTGGTCATATCATGTTGTCAGACTTTGATCTTTCGAAACAATCGGCCCCTGGCGGAAAACCAACCATGATTCTTGGCCGAAACGGCACAAACGTAAATTCCCTACCAACGATCGACACAAAGTCATGTATAGCAAATTTCCGCACGAATTCATTTGTTGGAACCGAGGAATACATAGCGCCGGAAGTTATTAAAGGGTGCGGTCATACAAGTGCAGTTGACTGGTGGACATTGGGAATCTTGATTTATGAGATGTTGTTTGGCACAACGCCTTTCAAGGGAAAGAATCGAAATGCTACATTTGCAAATATTTTGAGAGATGATGTTCCTTTCCCGGAACACTCTGGCTCTCCCCAAGTCTCAAAGTCGGTTACTCTTCACAAATTGACTTTCCAGAAATGCTGACAAATTTTAGTCTTTGTAAATCAGTGATTCGAAAACTCCTTATCAAGGACGAAAACCGACGGCTGGGGGCTCGAGCTGGAGCTTCTGATGTCAAAACTCACCCATTCTTCCGCACAACTCAATGGGCACTTATCAGACATATGAAGCCTCCTATGATCCCCCACCAAGGTCGCGGTATCGACACCGTCAATTTCAGAAATGTTAAGGAGAGCGAAAGTGTTGATATCAGCGGATCAAGAACCTTGGCGTCCGCCAAAGGAGTACCACTTGATTCTGGTTTGGCAACACCAGGTGCTGCCGAACTCGAAGTTGATCCTTTCGAGGAATTTAACAGTGTCACACTGCACCACGATGGTGACGATCACCATCAAACCGTGGATCAACATAATGGAAGATACGACGGTCGGTGATTGTAAGTTTTGGCGATCATCATATCAGAAACTCTTTATCGTCTATACTATGTGATGGAGTTTGGGGGAGTCACTTGGATGATTGATGGGACAAAAGACATCTCGCGAGCATATTTTCCTATGTCATTTCTTTGATTGCAAGGACTGGATGATTTTAATACATTGCTTGCGGTTGATATTCAGCAAGCAGACGAGTGTTTGAAGAAAATAACACAAATACGAGACGAACGCTAACGCATTTTACCTCTTTCTGTTTGTAAATACTGAAACTGGGAGAAGGGAGCAGAAAGACAAGGTTATGGGGGTTTAAATTTGGGAATTTTGAGGTATAGGGAAAAGAGTTTAAGAATTTGTGTTGTTTTTCCCCAGAATGTTCGGTCCATTGACTGAATTATGTTTATTAACACAGATTTGGGGTTCATTGTGGGTATGGCGCGTACCGGTTAAGAGAATGGCGTTTTGCGCTTCTGGCTTTCCTTTTCCGTGGCTGATTATGATTGGGAGATGGGAGATGGGAGATGGGGAATCGGAGCCGAAGGGAAAGGGAGGTTGGACGGGTAGTAAGGATTAGCAGGTTAGAGGGACATGTTGATAGATCAATAAGTTGATAGGAATTCTACATCTTCTTCAGTGAAGGAGTTGATTTAAATAGGCGAATTTGCGTGTAATATGTGAGGGTAGGTCTTCAAAGTTGTGGTGCGAAGCCCTGCCGTGCAGTACGTCACGTGCTGGATTAATATTTGGAAAGGCAAGTGCGACTACGTTTTTACTCTTTTGGTCAGTTAGTGAGCAAGAATTTCAAGCGCTAAGGAATGATTCCTCGCACACTTGAGTTTCGATAATGTTACACTCTTGGTCAATCAAAAAGGGGACAGAGGGGACAGAATGCACAGAATTGATGCGGACATCGTTTTCATGTCCTTCGACTCACGATTTCTTGCTTTTGATTCGACATCTCTCAATCCAAGTTTTCCATCGCATGAATATCAAATTGATGTGCAGATTCAAATGAATGATGTGGCTTTCGCCTTTCTTCGTTGACGAGACAAGCTTCGCCCTTGCGGGCAATGATGGAAGGGTAACATCTTGTAATGTAAACGACCTACGAGATGCACATTTGGGGTGTGACGGTGTCGCTTCGAGATCAAGTTATTCGAGGAGACCTGGGGTCGGTGAGATAATTAGGACAAGATGAGGCGAAAAGGGTATGTAGTGTGATTGAAATATGTGTATGTGGTGGAAGATCGAGATGTGGGGAGCCGGTGAGGGCTGTGCTGTGGTGGGTGGTACAGGAGAGCCTTGTCGAGTTTGTCTTCATCTTGTTGTTGTCTGTTCGTTTTGAAACTAAAATTTTGTCATGGTTTACAGGATTGGCTGATTTTCTGTAGTCAAATTAGCAGCTATGCCTATCGGCAAGAGATTCAAACGAGGCTTCCGCTCAATCAAAGCAAGTCTTAAGAATCGCTCTGATCTTCTGCAAGAGCCTGTTCAGTCCGAATCGAGTGTCGATACAAAGAGTTCTGTGGCGGTAGCTGTTGGGAAGAGTGGTGAATCTGTTATTCAAAATGGCAAGAAAGCAGCCGGCGAGCAAATACAGGAGCTTGCACACGATGATCCAACTTGCTATATGACAGGGTCATTAACGACCGCCACAAACGATTTGCAGCTCTCAAATGAGGATGACCTTTGGTTTCAAGCTTCAGAGAAGCTCAAGGCTAATGATCCGGAACTGGTATGTAACTTTGTTATTTCATCTCAAAGCACTTCTGATTAGCTAACTTTGCTACATGTAGTATGAACAATACTCACTCATTATACGTCGCAAAGCAGACAAGAGCGATGAACACCACCCCGACGAGTCCGCAAAATCCTTAGCCAATGCAGCGGCGCTTCTAAAAGTGTGCCAAAATAGCCTCGAAACCATGAATGCCCCACGTGGCAGAGCTGATAAAGTTTTCAAGAAGACGATTGAGATTGTAGGCCTGGCTAAAGACTTCGTGGGGTCTGTTGTTAGTGCCGAGCCTCATGGAGCAGTAGCTTGGGCAGGTGTCTGTCTTTTCCTTCCGGTATGTTCTTGTACTCGGAGCTTGCTCTCTACCTTCTCTTGTTCTTCTTTCATGACTTTCAGTGCTTATGGTTTGCTAACAGAGGCTTAGCTACTACTCAATCCCTCTCAACAAGATGATGCTTGTCGCAAAGGTCTTGAGGAACTGCCCTTTCTCATCCACAAGTATAGTCTAGTGGAAAGCATCTGTGCAATAAAAAAAGTCCAGGTTCAGCAACTGCTACCACGGCTGATATGTTGTCTAGTGGGATCATCGACTTATATACCAAGATACTCAATTTTCAGGCTGAGGTTGTATGTCAATTAAATCGATCAACGATCAAAGGCTATTTGAGAAAAGTTTTCCAAACGGATAAGTGGGAAACCATGCATCACGATGTCTTGCGCATAGAAGGGCGATGTTGGGGTATAGCCCAGGCGATTGATAGCGATCGTTGTAGTAGGTTATTGACGGAACACAATAGCAAACTGGCAGAGCTTCATACCATCGGGCAAGTCCCCAGTTTCACACCCAAAAAGATGATGAGCTGATTGTTGTTCAGATCGGAGCTCCTCAAAGTATCAAGTCAGACATATCAGGCCGTTCTTGATATTGGAATAGAATCTAAACAACGCGAAAGAACTAAAGAGGAAATGGAATGTCTGCAGGCCTTTCGTTTGGCTAATCTTTATGAAGAACAAAAGGATCGGAATCCTGATCGTGTTGAGGGAACTTGCACGTGGTTATTTGAATCACAGAGCTTCCGCGACTGGAGGGACGGTGAAAGCTCAGGTCTTCTTTGGATTTCAGCAGATCCAGGGTGTGGAAAGTCAGTTCTTTCTAAAGCATTCGTGGACGAAAGACTGGTGAGTATATCTCCTGCAACTACCATATGTTACTTCTTTTTCAAGGATCTCTCCCCAGAACAGCGTAATCCAAAAAAGGCAATTGCAGCATTGATCCACCAGATAGTTTCGAAGAATCGTCATCTCTAGACACATGTGATAGATAGTTAGAAGCTCAACGGCAGAGAGCTTTGCAACTTGCATGATAGCATGTAGGGCAATTTAGAATCTATAGCTAGTGATCCTGCTGCTAGTGATATTATCTGCGTCGTTGACGCTTTAGACGAGTGTGATTCAGGCTACGATATGCGGGAGCAGTTTATTCGGAGAATGCATAGGCTTGTATACGAAAATCAGCCATGCCACATGAAGTTCGTAGTTACCAGTCGCCCTTATTCACAGATCGAAGGAATATTCATAAGGTTGCGTCACGATTTTCCCGTGATCCGCATAGCCGGGGAAATAGAATCTGAGATTATCTCGCAGGAAATCAACCTAGTCATCAACCATGAGGTTCAGCAGCTAGACTTGAATGAGAACGTTAAAAGTTATATTAAAGCTCGTCTACGAGAAATAGAACACAGAACTTATCTTTGGTTATACTTGATTATGGACGTTGTCCGCGAGAGGGTATCTACTAGCGGGGACGCCGAGAAGATAGAAGAAAGCCTGAGAACACTACCAATAACTGTGGAGCAAGCGTGAGTTTCTGGATCGTCCCAACTTCTCTTTTGGGGGTTTCATGGCGTCTGAGAATGTTGCCAACATGCTAATATAATCATTTTAGATACGAGGCCATTCTGAATAAAAGTCCACGCAGATCAGATACCGAGAAATTACTTCACATTATCGTCGGGGCTGAACGTCCGCTAAGTACGGATGAAATTAACATTGCCATGAATATCAAAGTATGTTACAGTGGGTCTCAAGCTTTCGAGGATATTTTTTTGGAAGATAGCAAACGTTACCCAGGCATGCTTCGCAATCTCTGTGGGCTCTTCATACAGATTGTGGATTCAAAAGTGTACCTCATACATCAGACAGCGAAAGAATTTCTTATCGAGAACAAACAAAACGAAAGAGAGCATGGTTCCTGGAAGCACTGTCTCCAGCTAGATATATCTCAAAGAATTCTAGCAGAAGCATGCATCTCCTATCTTTTTCCTTGATAACTTTAACTCTTGTTTAGTTTTTGACAACGGTCGCTCAAAACTCTTAGAACCATTCGCTTGTTTCTTAGAATATTGTGCAAATTTTTGGACTGTACACTATAAGTGCGCGATATCTTTTTTCGATCCCGCCGACATTGCCAGCTTGTGTTCATTTTCTAATCGACGCACAAACTGGGGACGACTGTATTATCACGGGAGCCTACAAATATATTGCGGAGGCATTGACACAACAGCCCTCATGATCATCTCGTATTTCAATCTTTACGAAGTTGGTAAGCATGTGATCTTTGATCCTAATTTCGACAATCAAGAGCTAGAGACATGCAAAGAAGGCTATACCCCACTACTACTGGCTATATCGAATACCAGTATTGATATGGTATGTTCAAGTTAGATACTGTTCGCATTTCTTTCAAGCTGAAACATCATATAGGTGCAGCTACTTATCAAGAGTGGTGCTGATGCGAATCATACGACGGGGATGGGCGTGCCTCTTGAAGAGGCTCTGAGAATTGGTAATCTCGATATTCTTCGATCCGTTGTGGAAGTCGCAATGGGTGAAAGAATCCATGTGTACAATGCACTAGATATGGCTGTCTTAAATAGAAGGGAGGAATCTGTCCCATTATTTCTCGATTCATTGGTGCGCCCAATGGCAAAAGGATATCTTGAAACGGCCTTGTCATTCGCCCTATGTGCCGGGAGTATGAGAAATATTGAATTGCTACTATCCTCCGGAGCTGATCCCACCTGCACTATCCTCAAAGGGGTGCCTTGCTCGTGCACAACCTGCTTGCAATCCTTTTGTAGCCTTTGTTTTGAAAGCTCAGAGGGTGCAAAATCAGGCGAGTGGGCCTGCAAACATGGAATCTTGAAAACACTTTTTTCGGAACCGAAACCCCTATCTTGTGAGTTTGTAAAAAGTCAGCTAGTGAGGTCTGTGGATCAAGATGGGTGTGATAAATCTATCATGGTGCGACATTTTTTGAATCACCCACGTCACCCTGGCCTGATACTTGATGGGAGCCGGTCACCAATAGCATTGGCAGCAATTCGTGGACACACAGATTCCATGGAACTCTTGTTGGGCGAACCTCATGATGTAAACAAGTGCTTAGCACCTATTTCAGGGCGTCAAGTTTATACTTCGGATGGGCTTCAGACGTGTGAGAATGGGGGCTATTGGATCCAAAAAAGCGTTGAAGTTACTGCGTTGGTTGCAGGAGTGATTTCTGGAAGCGAGAGAGTTGTCAAAAGCTTGATTAGGGACGGAGCCGATACCAACATAAGCACAGAGCTGGGGTCACCTTTGTTTGTTGCAGCTGCGATATGTCCGGTGTGGATTGTCCAATTATTGATCGACAACGGTGCACGAGTAATGCCATCTAACCTTGAAGAAAAAGAACATTCATCACCGCTGGTTATTGCTGCTGCTCTGGGAAACATTGTCAATGTGGAATTACTACTTAAATCTGGCGCTGATGTTGAGCGGGGGACCGCAATCATTTTTAATTCAATCCTGGCTCGTGGAAAGAATATTGAGGGAATATTCTATCCTTCTGCTATTGAGGCTGCGCAGATGGAAGGTCATGAAGATGTGGTTGCGCTTTTGCGGGAGTATAGGGCTAGGCAGGCCGTGACGGGAGTGGAGGAAGTAGAAGTTACGATGATGCCGGACAGAATTGAAGAGGTGGAAGATTAATCTGGGTTCTTGTGACATGGATCGATTTCTTCTAGTGTCTATTTTGGGGGGGATGTTGGATGGTTTTGGGGATTTGGTTTGATATATTGGGTTCTTGTATTGGAGATATGTTACTAGGAAATTGACGAGTTGATACAAAACTTACTACCACCAGCTTCAAAAGGAAAGAGTCTCAATATTTGATTTAAAGTAATCTCGAGTTGTTGTGTATAGGTTCATATAACAGACTCCGATTCAATTACAAGTATAATGTTGAGGCCAATGGTCTCCGATGTGCTAGACTACATTTTGACCATTTGGAGTATCAAATAACAATAGTTTCACACCACAAAGTTTGGAGAGTTCACTTAGTGAGCTCATTTCAAACATGAGAAATTTGATTTCTAATCTATCAATCCAGATCTCTTCCGACCACTCTATTCTTCTTCCACGTTATGTCATTGCATCAAATTACATCATTACGTTGCCCGTCCCCCCTTCCCTTCCTCCTTCACCCCATTCGCCCTAAGCAATAACTTCTACCATAGCGGCTACCAGCTACCAGCTTGAAAACCCAACACCCATGGAGTGGAGTCTGAAACTTACAGCGATCAAGCGCCAGATAGTATTTTAGGAGGTGGTCTGAGTTAACCGTTAGGTAGGTGTACAGTATTCTCTACACGGACCATTTTGATACGAAAACTTCTTGAAAGGGGGCAGTGGTATGGTTTGTGGTTTGTAGTTTGCAGTTGTATGTGTAGGGTTATGCGCGGATTCATCTGTATCTGTATCTGTATCTACCCTTCTAAAGAGACTTGAAAGACACTTGAGAGCTAGCATAGGCAACTTTAGAACCAACATTCGAGCGAGCATGAGAAGTAGCATAGAAGTGGGTCGATACACGGTTACATGTCTTTCTTTGCTAGGATGTGGAGAATGCGACGAGATGAGAAGAAGAGCGGGTTGTGAGTAGCATGGAATGGCATTGCTGCGACTATCGCTAATACTCACTTGAGCTATTTATTTACTTATTCGCAAAGCTACGTACTTTCTTGCACCATTTGTATGTATGTAATACTCTCATACCATGATTATGGGTACTGCAAGATTGTATAATTGCGACATTGCAAAGTTGCAAAATAGATACACCCATCTATTCATCCATTCATCCATCCATCCATCCATACAAGCCATGAAAGCTTTTGAACTAAATGCAAACTGCTCAGATCCAAAGCAATTGATATCATCATCTCGTAACTTCGTAATAAGCACGTACGCTTACTTCCTATTCCTGTGATCGCTGTTCTCGTAATTTCTGGGGAGGAGAACTACAAGCAGATCCGTAAATATTCCAGCAATCGCTTCCTTTCATTTCCTTTCATTCGTTATTCTTTCTTTTGGTCACAGAATTCACACACGCACACACGCACGCGCAACCCCATTCAACTATCTCCTTCTCGCTCTCCCCGAACTAACTGCACTCATCGGTTGAAACGCATCATCATCGTCATCCTCACTAATCTCGTCATCACTCAACTCAACAACCTGTTTTTTTCTCCCCCCTGTTCCTCCCCCTCCTCTCCCCGTCACCTGACTCGGCTGCGAAAAATTCAACTGTGTTTGTGTTTGTCTTCCGCGCGCTGCAGCCGCTCTCTTTGGCTGGCTCTTTGGTTTGACCGCGGGAGCTTCTTCCATTTCTACATCTACATCTACATCTTCGTCTTCGTCATCGCTTGGTTCGGGCTCGGGGATCTTTTTTCTGCTTCTTGATGTGGTCGTGGTGGTTGGTTTCGCAGAATTTTTCTTGAGCGCTGAGGCTTTCTTGGCTGGGGCTCGTTTAGCGGGGGGTTTCTTGGTGGTGGTGGGTTTGGGTTCTTCATCTACGGCTTCTGCGAAGGGGTCATCGGAATCATCGTCGCTGATGATGAATCCGCCCGTGTTTTTTCCGTTTCCGTTGCCATTTCCGCGTTTGGGTGGGGGAGCAGGTGGCGCATCGTCGCTATCATCATCATTGTTTTCTCCGTTGTCTGTTTCGCAATGTTCGACTTTTTCACCCCATTCTCCATCGAGATCTGAGTCGAAATCCGCAGGTCTGGGCTTCGGTTTGAGTTTCTTGGCTGGTTTATTGGATTTACTTCCTGAACGAGCGGCCAGTGCTTCTTGTTGAGCGCGAAACTTTTCCATGGCCGCATTGAGATATTCATCTTCGTCTCCGACTTCGTTGTCTGTGCCATTGGCTTGCTTGATGAGTTCTTCAACTTGAGCTTTGAGGGATTTCTGGACAAAGATTTCCATAGCGTGACGATCATCTTTATCGACGAACTGACCTACTGCGTCGCCAAAGGGGGTTGTGGGGAGGACTTGAAGGGATTGCTTTTCGAGAAACTCTTTAACTAGGAGTTCGACTTTTACGTCGTCGAAACCGGCGACTTGCGCGAGAGTTCCTTCTTCTGGGAGATCGATTTCAGTGGCGGACTTACGGGTCGCACTGGCTTTTTTGCGGTGGTATTGAATTACGTCTTTTATGTTTGCGACACGGTTGATGAAACGACTGGAGAAACGCTGAGGATTTTCGCAGTCGAATTTACCGCCCTCTGGTGGAGTGAATTCTACCTTGAGACGGACGAGAGGGAGGGGAATATCGTCGAGTTCTTCTTCTGGTTCATCTTGAAGGGAAATCCATTCAGCGCGTGCTTGATCTATGAGTTCATCCACAATGGTCATAAGTTCTTTGGTAAGTTTCGTGCGATTGTCCTTTACTTTTGCGAGATGTTTAGTTCGCTTGTCTGTAGCGAGGACAATTTCTTTTGTAATGAATGGTCGTACAGACTTGAGACGAATCTTCTCGATTTTGAATTCACGACCGGTGATGCTGGCGATGGCAACATGTTTTGGGACAGCTTCACCAGGGACTAAGGATGTAGCAACTGATGATCCAGGTTGCATGACATGAAATGACTTTTCGGGATTGTAACTTGGATCAATAAGACATTCATGTTCGTGGCCCCAGACAATTAAGTCTAAGAAATCAGGAAGAAAGTTCTCGGGTAAATAAGAGGTTTCCGTGTGAGCGTGATGATTTTGATGAACTGCCATGATATTAAACCAATCCCTTTGTTGTACTCCTGGCTTGAACCATTTGACATGACCATCTCTGAATGTACGATAAAGACGCTCGTCTCTTACATTACTCATGCCATATAAAGCCAGCTTCGTTTGACCTTTTTGCAAAAGTACTGGTTTGATTTGAATGCGATCAGCTTCGGGGGTTCGACCAAAGTAATTGACCAATCCAGAAGCTTGTAGTAAATCCAAAGCACAGTAGTTTCCATCGCCAGCCGGATCATCATGATTGCCATGAATAGAGAAAACTGGTATAGCAACATTGATATCTGGATCCTCATAATTGACATGATTGAATGAGCCATCAAAGATATCGTTTGCGTCGCTGAGTAATTCCAATTCGCAGGGTTTCTCTCCGAGACAATTCATTCGCAATGATCGCATAACTTGGTACATGGCTTTTCGGGAAGGTTGACTGTAGTGAAAGAGATCGCCTGCGAGTAAGACCATATCTACATCTCGATCTTTTGCTAGACGCATAACTTCGTCGAAGCTTCTCCAGCTGTCGTCCTTGCGCACAGCATCATTCTCTGCATATCCCACATGGCTATCTGTCGCAATGAGTATTCGAATGGTATCTGCTGCTGTAATGAAGTCAATGAACCGTTTTCTATTCAGGCAATACAACTTACCAGTGAAAGTCGGCATTTTGGCCACTCGATTTTCTTCCAGAGGAAGCTCTCCAGAAAGGTTGTAATTGTTCCGACTTAACGCAGACGATAAAATCACTTAGATAGAGATCAACAGTATCAAAGACACGAAAAAATCAACAGTTGATGTAGCATTCCCGTACAACTTTACGGTTTCCATTAAAATCTAAAGTTTTTGGTTGCCTGCAGTATCTGGGAGACGCGATCTGGGCTAACGTGTCTGCTACCCCTGCAGAATGCGAGCACTTAAAAATTCATCAGACGACAAAGGTTCGCAGGGTAGGGACGAAGTAGATTGCCAGCTAGAGATATTTACTCTTTTCAATAATCGATCTAAAATCGGATAATCATTATTTCAGATCCAAGTTCTTCTAGAACTAATAGTAATCTTTTCATTTGTAAGAATCTCAATTTTTGTATCTCAAACTACTACTGTCATTGTTTTCTAGCACCAAGATACAGTAGGTATTTGTACCTATAAATTGTGTTGGGGGTGCGGCTTTTTCCGTTCAGTGCATGAAAGATTTGCCGTCATTGGCGACGAGACAATTTGATATCAATTCAACGACACAATGTTTCCCAGTAGAGTTCTTCTTTCACGGTCGGTCTGGAAAGGTATGTTTTAACTTATGCCTTCAAGTCTAATCATACAATTCTAATACAAGCTTTAGGCCCCAATATCGTTCCGTAAGACATTCCTTGCAGATTCTATAACTTCTCTAATCACCCCTCCTCACCAGTCTCCCCATTGTTAAACCAGTACCGGGAGTTCGAACATTACCAATTAGAACGCAAGCAAGATCTGCGACTATTCTACCTAATTTCGTTGGCTTGACCTTTGAGATTCATAATGGGAAGGTTTACAATGAGGTGACCATTACGGAAGATATGGTAGGACATAAGTTGGGGGAATTCTCGTCGTATGTTCTAAGGATTAATGACGGGGACGAAGGGCTAATTTCGCGGACAGAACAAGAAAACGATTTACGTATAAGCAGAGTAAGAACAAGTAAATGCGGAGTGTTTAGCATCATATGTCATGGTATGGCGTTTTGGGTTGGAAAAGAGTCTTTGGGCTTTGGCGTATGTGCATTGTGTTGCACATCAGGTGTATCTTATGAGCTGGTGGACAATGGATACATTGGAAGAACTATGGGTTGCCTCCACTTCCGGAAGCCCTTGCCGAAGATCACAAAACCATGACTGAGTGAGAACCATTGTAGCTTCACAGCTGAGAGACGGATCGAA